AAAAAAAAAAAAAAAAGGAAAGAATAAAAGCTTTTGAGGAACCTCTGTGATCTAGTTACTTTGAGTGTTAGTTCCATCATTCGTTCATCTTGAGAGAAATCTCTTGGCTAAGTGGCAACCTCGTCCTGGATGCCGCATCATGAGGGAAGAGTTAGGGCGCCTCACTCTCCCAGCTGTTTGGTCCAAGTCAAGGGGCCCCTCTGGAGAGGTGATGGATATCTTAGTTACTTTTCAACACTGTGACAAAGGCAACTTATTCAAAGAAAGCATTTCATTTGGGGCTCGGGGTTCCAGAGGGTGAGTCCATGACCATCATGATGAACATGGAAGCAGGCAGGCAAGCATGGTGCTGGAGCAGCAGCAGAGAGCTCATACCTTGATCCACAGACATGAGGCAGAGAGAGCTAACTGGGAAAGGGGGCTTTTGGAACCTCAAAGCCCACTCCAAGTGACACACCTCCAACAAGGCCACAGCCCCTAATCCTTCCCAAACGGTTCCACCAACGGCGGACCAAGCATTCAAATAATGAGCCTATGGGGACCGTCCCCATGCAGACCCCACTGCAGTTAGCTGCCTCGCCCCCAAGCCCTAGCTTGTCTTTAGTGGCCTGGCGTCAGAAGCTGTGTCCATCTGCCATGCCTTTGTTCCTAGTCCCTCCTCGCCCATGCTGTCTGGCGCCTCCCTCAGTTCACTCCCCTGCCCTGCAGCCCCTGGGGAAACTTGTCCCCAGGGCAGGAATGGAGAAAGGGAACAAGTCATGGCTGTCCACACAAATCCCATCTCTTCCGGGACTGTAGGCTGAAGCCCAAGAGAACTGCAGAGCAAACTAGTGTTTCTCCCTCGGTCTCCTGGCTTCTACTTTGGAAGATACTGTTGGCATCTCTGACTGTTTCTCAATACACAGATCTCCGGACTTACATGAAAACACTCTAGCTCAGATACCACACAGCCCCGTCCCTATACTCGGCAAAGAAGCCAGAGGTGTATGGGTCGGTGAGATGGCCCAGCAGGTAAAGGTGTGTGCTGCCAAGCCTGGACCTGAGTGCAATCCCTTTTCCTATCTCCAGAGAACACTTGAGACCAGCATTGTAGAAAAAGTAAGGAATGTGACTTGCACTCTCCCTTGTCAGAGTCACATCATCCAAATTTGGGGGGGGGGAGGGTGCACATACACAAGCACCCCTTCCTCTGGAGGGTGAGACATCATTGTCCAACCTTCTGTTTATTAACTCCCGTTCCGCCATCCAAGGTCTTTTTACAGACCATGAATTTGTGTTCATGAACAAAGGACTTACGTGGCTGGAGATGACCCTGACCTGCAACTAACACTCAGTGGAAGACCAAGCAAAATCAGGACGGAGGCCATTCATTAAACATGCATGCACAGATGTTTTTGACCCTGTTCTCCACAGGGAAAGTGCAGGTTTAACAGTTTAACTTGCATTGTCTGAATAAGATTTTTACTAATTCCCGGTATTAAAAAATTACAGTCTCAGTTGTGGTGGTACACACCTTTAATCCCAGCACTCAGGAGACAAGAGGCAGGCGGATCTCTGAGAGCAGTCTACAACGTGAGTTCCAGGACAGCCAGGGCTACACAGAGGAACTTTGTCTTGGAAAACTGTCAGGCCTGCCGACAGCTGGGTAGCTGGGTAGAGGCGTGCAGATTGAAGAGACAAGAAGACAGAAAAGAGTCGAGAGGTCTGCCGGTCAATGCCGGACAGCCCCGAATTTATTTCATAGCCAGCTTATACACAGTCCTGAAGGACAGAGGTAGAACCATGCACAGCACAGGCATTCAACCACTATCTATCCTGTCTTGTGTCAAGGAGCAGGGAGTTTCATTTTCTATCTTAATGTACCTGTGGCTGGCATCAGCAGCCTACATCTAGCTAGATAGTGTGTTCCTTCTTGTGGGCTAACCAGGACTTTCTCACAGCCCTTCAAGGAGACTCTGTGGGCTAATCAGGACTTTCTCACAGCCCTTCAAGGAGGCTCCGTGGGCTAATCAGAACTTTCTCACAGCCTTGGAGCAAACAAGCTTGAACTCTATTATAGACTCAGAATAGACTTCAGATTCAAACTGGGAAACTGAGTCAGTTTCAGGCTGCCACAGAAAATCAGAGAGAGAGAGAGAGAGAGAGAGAGAGAGAGAGAGAGAGAGAGAGAGAG